GTTCAATATCCTTCCAAGGGGGGATATTGAAGCTTCCAATTGATCAACTCATACTTAGGATGTTGTTGGACAGCAGAGATTAAATATGTCTCCTCCTTAAGCACAGGTTCTTTGGTTGAATTTCACATTTTGCCCAGGGCTCTTTTGGAAGGAACCTCCACTTGTGGAACAAAAACAAATTGTCATTAAATTACCAAAAGTAATATTTTATGTTAAAATGTTTGGCTGTAAATAGGAAGTGAATTGGAGTGAGAAAACGCAAAACAGGTATTAGCTGTTTCAAACTGTAACTCAACATGTGTTGCTTAGGTGAATCATATAGTAGTATCTGGTATCTGTCCTCTAGGAACTCATGCAAACAAAGGAGCTATTGTCTGGGGAATAGTGGCAACCGTTCATCATGTGGGCCAAGATGGTGCCTTCCAGGAAATTCAAGAAATAAAACTGCCTGTATTTGTTCATGATCTCTTCATAATACAAGTCACTTTCATCATTTTTAGGGCAACTTGTTCTACCATAGGAAGTTTCCTTTAAAAAGGGAAGTGGAGAAAATTCTTCCAGAACTTTACAATATTCTTCTTCTACAAATCCTGAGTATTTCCTGATAAACAACTTACTTAGATTATTGCATAGTTCCCATAAAGTACCTTGGATATCTCTAACTTCATTAGCCACTGGGGTTCATGATAACTTTGTATAATAATTAAATCTTAACTTAGGCATTATCAGACACAAAAAAATTATTCATACTAAATCACTTAAAATTAGATGTATAACTGGTAGATATACAAAATGTATCTATGCATGCTAATTAGGGATTCATTCCTACTACTACTATTAATAACATAATAATAATAATAATATTTCATATTTCTGAAGCACAAATACACATGTTGCATATGATCATATGTGCTAAAAAATACCCTAAGTATAGTTAGATACTGCTGACATTGTTTAGTTGCTTCCACGACCAAATATTGCCAGAAGCAACAAGAAGATGCGAATGATATCCATGTACAGAATCAAGGATGCAAAGATGTACTCCTCTGGACTCAACTCGTACTTCTTGCCACCCATCACCAGTTGCACGTCATAGGCAAGGAACTATTGACAGACAAGTATTGAATGGTTAACCCTCTACACCCTAACATCAGTGTGCATATTCTCCTTACTGTTTCCTCTACATTTCCTAAAGTGCTGACAAGGAGAATTTATTCAACAACCAAAAGCTTGTTCAGTTGGTGATCATTTCCTTTGTTCTCATGAACTTATAATTTTAATGTGATTCTGGGTGAGACTGTAAGAAATACTTTG